ATTTCAACCTCTCTTCTCTTTGTTTTTCTGGTACTTGCTGGCTTGCCCATTTTCCTTCATTTCGTTTTCTCTTTTTTTTTTTCATCACTCTTTTCTTTCCCTCATATCTCACATCCCACAATTTCACCTTTTTTTTTTTCGTTTCCCCCTTTTTCTTCATTTTTTTTCTTTTTCCTTTTTTTTTTCTTGTCTTTTAACGTTAAAAAAATGATTCGATCAAACCTATGTAGGTTGCCTACATATCATGACCCCGCATGAATCAGATCTTTGCGTAGTTTTGGAAGATCGGGAATAAAGTAAACATACTAACGTTTCCATTTTTCTTTTTTTTTTCTTTTTTTTCTTCTTTTCTTTTTTGAAACAGGTACTCTATGAGAAATTATCAAGGAAAAACCCTAAAAGAGAAAAATATTTTTTGTTTTTTTTTGAAGGAAATCTAAGGAATAAATCACAGAAAGACATTTTGAATCCTCATTTGATATCCTGACGCAAGATCTCGAAGCAAGCAATGAAAAAGATAAAACAGAATGTTTTTGGATTTCAATTCTGATTGCCTAAAGGAAAAATTCCAATGATAAACAAAAGATAAAGTATTTTTTTTATGTACAATATCCTAAAGTTCTAATGATAATAAAAGATTTTTTTTTTCATTTTTCACTAGTTTCCCGAAGAAACACTTAAAAGAAGATCTTTTTGGATTTTGGAATTAACACCTTAAAGAAAGCTTTTAAAGAAGTACTATATTTTTTTTCATTTCTAGAATTAGTATTCTAAAGAAAATTTATAACAAAATATAAAATGCAACATCTCTTTTTTTTGGATTTTTACTTGTAACACATTTCCAAATGCAAAATAACAAATACAGTAACAATAGACTATACAAACTTAACTAGACAATACAAATTCTAACATCACCTAAAAGACTAAATACTACTATACAGGACTAAAAAAATAAAACAAAAACGATTGACTCAAAAACATGAAATGGCTCCTCGAGCAGCTCCTGAATGCAGTGATCCTGACTAGATGTCCTAGGGCTCCGTCATGCTCCAACTCTGATAAATAAATCCACACCTATATAAGAAAACTTGAACCAGCACTATGTGAGACAATAATATTCCCTAAGACACATGCAAAACACGATTGAGGCTATTTTTGCAAATTGGCTTATTTGGCCAAAATGTGGCTAGAAGTGCAAAATTTGGCTAAGACCCCGCAAAGCCAAGAACGTAAGATATACTAGGAAGACCGGACCCTATGTGGGTTGACTACGTATCACGCCCCGAAAGACGAGAATCAAGTATGCGTAGTTCGGGCAGATTGGATACAGGCGAGAATAATAAAAAATCACTAATTCATAGAAATCACATTTTTTCTTGCTTTTTCTTGAAAAATGACGAAACATGCAAAATCATTTTGGATTTTCTTTTATTCGATTTTTGAAAAATGATAAAGAGTGCAAAATCTTTTTGAAGTTTCCATGCTTTTTTTTTTCTTAATAAAATGTAACAAAAATATAATTGGGCCCTACTCGCTTCATCCTCACACTTCAGCCTCTCTTTTCTTTTTTTTTTTCCTTTTTTTTCTCTCTTTTTGTCATTCATCCTCAATTATCATTGGTCCTCCAAATGACCCTTTTACCCTTGAAGAAATGCAACATGTAGCACATAGGATGCATCAAGATGGTCCGTTATTTTGGGTACACCTGTCCTAGATAGGCCCAACCCCTGTGTTGAGTCCCCTAAGTCAAATGCACGTGATGCAGACAAACGTTCCTACTAGGNTGTTATATTCGGCTTAATAATCTGATTTTAGAACATTTTGAACCTATGTGCCAATTTAACCTTTTAAACGCTTTTACTTATTTAAAGAATTAATTCAAAGTCATTTAAAACATATCGCAAGCCACACCACATGAAATGCACCGGTGGTTCACGACACGCTCTATTTAACCTTGTTGGAAATTAGAACCGGGTCACATGAAATGCACCCCCGGGTTTTAACATGTTCACTTCTACTATCATTATTCAAAATTATGGTCGGGTCACATGAAATGCACACCCGAGTTTAGGAAAGTAAAATTATTAAAAGAACGCGCCTAAAGCAACTAGCGCAATTAATTATTCTTCCGAAACTTTGAGATTATAGGAAGGCCATAGATCATAAATATAGTGCGTGAGAGAAAAATGTGACCTTCAACTTCCATGAATTTCCAGCAAACACGGTCATATTCACCCAAAAGAGAACTTAACGACTTATTAACGTTCTGCTAGAATTTAGCAAACCAAACCGACCCTTAGCTCGTATACAATCAAAACCAAACAAATATCCTTAAAAGCAAAAAAAAAACTAATTTTAGTTTTATGTCCAATAACCCAAATGGCTCAACTTCGAATTAATCCACACGGTGAACTTTTCATTTTATAAGACTATACAACACATAAATAGTGCGCACTAATTTTTCCATAAACACATAAACATTAACATAAACACATTATCATAAACTTTTCATTTTTACGGCAAATTAACCTTATGTGTTGATGTGTTAATCATCTCATATAGATCTTTGGGATTATAAATTTTCCATAAGAAACGAAAATATGAAACACTCAACAACCAACAAAGTGCTTTCTACAAAGAAACGAAACATATCCTAGTAGCAAACAACTATCCACAAAGTTCCCTGATAAACTTATTCAAGCAACCACATCAATTATACAATGAAAATATCACATCAAGGGATGCCTCCCAGAGCAGAAAATGACAGAAGCTCAAAAACTCATCTATGGAAGTTCAAGATCATCAATAAATTGAAGCAAATAAACTAACTATTCCAAATAAGAAAATTGATCAAACGATGCATTAAACTCATGAATAATACTTGTGAACAAAATAATCAGAGGCAAGAAAAACTGACCAAAAGTAAACAGAACCAGCACCAGAGCTACGAACGTTAACCTCGAAAAATTTACGACCTCGCCGGACCCGAAACCCGCCTCACCTCGATGTACGAACGGAACGCGGCAACTTTCTACACGACTCGAACTCACAAACGATTCCGAAACTTCAGCTGCCTTACGCTCGCTCCCTTACTCCGTTCATATGCGTGACTGTGTGTGTGCATGTGTTCGCCGACTTCAATGGTGGTCGCCGGTGACGTCGTGCCTCTGGTTTTCAACGAATAGCGGCTGGTTTAAGTTGTTTGGTCGCTGGTTTGTGTTGTCATTTGCCGGTGAGGCAGTAACGGAAGGAGAGGGGTGAGGTGAGTGAGGTCACCGGATTTCCGGCGAAGCTGGGTGGCGTCGCTGCTTCTTCTTCAGGCTCCTAGGGTTTTCTCCTATCGTTCCAGCGAAGAAGATGATGAAAGCTACGTGGAGGGGGGGGTCGTTCGATGAAGAAGAAGATGCGGGGAGGGTACTTGTATCGTTCTCCTTTTCTGGTTTTCTGAAGGACAATAAAAACGAGGCCAGGGGTAGTCTCGTGAAGATGACGATCCAAAAGGGGGTGGGGTCGTTTTTTGTCTGCGCAGCTTTATGCTTTTCAGCCCTTCTTCGTTATCATCCCCTTCTTTTGTTATCCATGCGCAACTGCCTTCTTTTGTTCCCAGCCTCTTTCTCGTTTCATTTTTTGTTTTTTTGTTTTTTCTTTTTATTTATATAGTCTAGGTTTAGGTAGGGTTTTAGGTTAAGGGGTATGGGCCTAGGAATTATGGGCTTGACAATTATGGGCTAGGTCCAAAATTAGGCCTAAAGATAGGTTGCTCGAGCCCAAGCTCTATTCTTTCGCTGCAAACGGATTAAAAGTACGGGCCTATTTGTTAATTATTACTACTATTCAAATAATTATTAAAATAAAACTTACCATTAAAACAAATCTATTTTTGGTATTTTCAAATATCATATTGAAATAAAAATACGACACTATTGTTGTATATATTTTTTTTTAAGATTTTTTTTAGATTAAAAATGACTACAAAATATTAATTAACCTATTTTTGTGATTTTTTGTTTTCTTGTAATAAAATTAAGTAAAAGAGTCAAAATTACTTAAAATATCTATATTATGCCTAAGTTAAATATTTTCGCTAATATATAAAAAATCTCGGGGAGGGTCAAAATTCACATATCTATAGTTACAGGAAATTATGATGCTGCATTATATACTAGAACTGCTGTGGGTAACCAAAGGTTTAAGAAATATTACAACATCTCGTGTGATTTTTGTAAGATGAAGGGGCATAGTAAAGAGAATTGTTACAAGATAGTGGGATATACTTGTGATTTTAAGTCAAAAAAGAGAGGGGGAGCAGGAAATGGTGCAGCCTACAATGTATTTGGGGAAGGTGTTCCACAGAATGGTATACTGACAAACAATATGACTGCGGGCAATCCAAATACAATTGGAGTAAACCAAACTGCAGGACAAGGGCAAGAGAATATAATGACTCAGCTATCTCAACTTGGAGTGTCTCCATTTACACAAGAACAGTATGATCAGATCCTGCAATTACTCAACAAAAATCCTGCACCAGTTAGCAACAATACATTATCATCTGCAACAAATGTAGCAAGTACAAGTACAAGTACAACTTTACTAGCTTCAGAGGATAGTAAGAAAGAATGGATAGTTGATACATGAGCTACAAATCATATGGTAGCTGACCTAAAACTGTTAAAAAAATTCATATGTGGTTCAACCTGAAATTCCAAAGAAAGTCTATATGCCTAATGGTGACATTTCATGTGTGACACATATCGGAGCCAGCAAATTACCAAACAAAAATATCATTACTAATGTGTTTCATCTGCCTCAATTCAAGTTCAATTTGTTATTAGTTTCTAAATTGACCAAAGAGCTAAGGTGTTCAGCTACCTTCTTTCCTGGCTTCTTCATTTTCCAGGAACTCTTCAATGGGAAGGTGAATGAGATTGGTAAGGAAGATAATGGTCTTTACATACTTGATGGTCAAACATCTGGAAGTTGCTCAGATGTCTCTTTGGCAGTAAAAAAGAAGAATGTTGAAGGTGAAATAGTTCAGTCAGAAGATATTGAATTGTGGCATAAAAGGTTTGATCATGTATCTACTACAGTTCTTAGACATTTGCTACCTATAAATGTAGAGCTTATAGCTGACAAAGTGAATAAGTGTGCAGTATGTCCATGTGCAAAACAAACAAGATTGCATTTTCCTGATAGTAGTATTAAATATGTTGCTTGCTTTGACTTAGTACATATGGACTTATGGGGTCCCTACAAAATAGCAACATATGATGGCAACAAATATTTTTTGACTGTGGTTGATGACTATTCCAGAATGTGTTGGGTGTTCTTACTTAAACTGAAGTCTGATGTGTGTGTGATAATTAAGCAGTTCATCACCTTTGTTAAGACTCAATTTGATAAGGTCATTAGAGTGATCAGGACAGATAATGGAACAGAATTTGTCAACTCTGTTTGCAGTAGTTTGTTTCAACAACTAGGCATAATTCATCAAAAGACATGTGTCTATACTCCTCAGCAAAATGGAGTTGCTGAAATAAAGCATAGACACATACTAGAAGTCACTAGAGCTATTAGGTTTAAGGCAGGGATTCTAATCAAATTTTGGGGTCACTGTATGTTAGCTGCAGTATATCTTATAAATAGGATACCTAGCGCAGTGATCAATAATCAATCTCCCTATGAGAGGTTGTACAGAAGAAGACCATCCTATAATCACATGAAAGTTCTAGGATGTCTATGTTATGCAAAAATGGTTCAACAATATGACAAATTAATGACAAGAACTAGACAAGCAATTCACATGGGATATGCAGAAACACAGAAAGGATATCTACTTTATGATCCCACTAACAGAAGCTTCTTTGTCAATGGAGATGTGATTTTTAGAGAAGATGTATTTCCCTTCAAAGTTAAACAAAAAGTCACCCCACTTATATTTCAAAATTCTGTTCCTGACTCAATGTCATATGATTTATATAGTACCCCTGAAGGTCAACTATCTGGAATCAGAACATTTACTACTCAGACATTAAATACTCAATCTGAAGTAGTTGAACCTCTAGAAGTACAGAGTACTGATATGGATCAAATCAATGAGGTTCAAATAGAACCAGATGAGTCTCAACCTCTTATCAATGCTCAGCACTTTCCTGAACCTCTAGAAAATCAACATCAAGCTAAAGTTGTTGAGATAACTGAATCTTTAGTGAATCAAAACCAACTGGTAGGAGGTGGAATTAGGAGGTCTGGTAGACAAAAAAGGCAACCTATTTGGATGAATGACTTTGTGTCTCTAAACATTCATCATGAGGTTCCTTATGCTATGTCTAAGTATATCACTTACAATAATGTCTCTCCATATTACCAAGCATATATAGAAGCCTCCTCATCTACAACTGAACCCTCAAACTACTTTGAAGCTGTTAAAGACCCCAGGTGGGTAGATGCAATGAAGGCAGAAATTGAAGCCTTAGAAACCAATCATACATGGGACATAGTCTCATTACCTGAGGGCAAAAGTCCTATAGGATGTAAGTAGATTTATAAAATCAAATACAAGGCTTCAGGAGAAATTGAAAGATTCAAGGCGAGACTAGTGGCAAAAGGGTATAGTCAAAAAGAAGTCATTGACTATCAAGAAACATTCTCACCAGTTGTGAAAATGAAAACTATCAGAACTGTCTTGTCTATTGCAGCCGGTAAATAACGGAATATACATCAAATGGATATATACAATGCTTTTCTTCAAGGGAATTTACATGATGAAATATATATGCAATTACCACAAGGATTTAAGAGTCAGGGGGAGAAAAATCCAGTGTGCAGACTCATAAAATCCTTGTATGGGCTAAAACAAGCCCCAAGGCAATGGAATGCCAAACTAACAGAAGCTTTACTAAGTTTTCAATTTCAACAGAGCCAATATGATCATTCTCTCTTTATTAAGAAGACAAGTGAAGGCACAATAATAGTTCTTGTATATGTTGATGACATGCTGATTACAGGTGATAGTCTAAAGCTAATTGAAGACACAAAAACTACTCTACAACAAACCTTTAAGATGAAGGATTTAGGTGAGCTAAAATACTTCCTAGGTATTGAATCTGCAAGATCCAAACAAGGGATCTTAATGCATCAAATGAAGTACACACTAGAACTCATTTCTGAAACTGGCCTAAGTGCTACAAGGCCAGCTATAACACCTATGGACAGCAATGTCAAGTTAACTACAAAAGAGTATGATGATTATATTGAAGAAACAGGTAAGTCAGAAGATGATTTACTTCCTGATCCAAGCATTTATCAAAGATTAATTGGGAAACTTCTGTACTTAACTATGACAAGACCAGATGTATCATACAGTGTACAAAACTTAAGTCAATTCTTACAGCAACCTAAAAAATCTCACATGGAAGCTGCACTCAGAATTGTGAAATATCTGAAGAATCAGCCGGGGCAAGGAATTCTTCTGTCCAGCAAATACAACAATAATATTTTTGCATATTGTGATGCAGATTGAGCTTCATGTCCACAATCTAGAAAGTCTATAACAGGCTACTTAATTAAACTTGGAGAATCTCTAATTTGTTGGAAGTCAAAGAAACAGACAACTGTCTCAAGAAGCTCGGCATAACCCGAGTACAGAAGTATTGCTGCTACAGTTGCAGAACTGATTTGGTTATTGGGTCTACTTAAGGAAATTGGTATTGAAGTAAAGACACCACTTGACATTTTCAGTGACAGTAAAGCTGCTATGCAAATAGCAGCAAATCCCGTTTATCATGAAAGGACTAAACATATTGAAATCTATTGTCACTTTATAAGGGAAAAAATAGTCCAAGGAGTGGTTACAACAAAGTACATTTCCACAAGGGATCAGCCAGCTGACATCTTAACCAAAAGCCTCAGTAAAGTTCAACATGATTATCTTTGCTCCAAGCTAGGAGTTCTTAACATTCTCTCACTACCTAGTTTGAGGGGGAGTGTTGAGACAATTAAGTGATACTCTCCTAAGGGTACATTAGTCATTTACTTATACACTAAGCTAAATCAGTTAGTGTTAAATACTTTATATATACATATGTAAAGAGTGATAAAAAAGAAGAAATAAAAATAACAGACATACGCTCTTTTCTTTCTCTTTCTTATTTCTTCTTTCTGCTAGTCTCTGCTATTCTATCTTCTGCTTCTAACTGGGCTTCATCCCATTCACCTTCTATCAAACTATCTCAGTAATCTAATATTTGGTTAGTTGTTACATTGCATCAATAATTAAATGATTAACAAAGTAACCAAAATCTAACAAAGAAGGAAAAGATAGCTTACATTAATTAGCTAAAGCAAGTTGAGGTGACATTGAGCTTGTCCATTACAATAGGTTATTAATTAACGTCAAAGAATGTTTAATCGAAAGCTTCCATATTTTAATCTTACTTAGAAAGACCGGGCATCGAAAAGATGTATAAACTTCATCGATTTTTAATGCTTGAACCATGCTATGAAATAAATCGATAAAGCATAAATTCAATTCGAAAGTAGTAAATGAGCAACATATGATTAAAGATCTTATATGGTTATTAGTTAAATAAAAGTTATTTTATGTATCAATCCTAACAATTCTGACAACTCATAGAGTGACAACTAGTTTTT